ACAGTGAGGGGCAGCCCCACGCAGGGCCCTCGGGCTTTGCTCTCAAAACCCAGTTCCGAGAAAAGTCGGGGTTCGGGGAAGACGCAGTTTGACTCTGTCTGACCTGTGGGGACCCTGTGGAGCCGCCGGGGCCCGGGGGGAGCCTCCTACCTACCTCGTTGGTGGTGAGCGTGAGGATGCGGTCCAGGTCTTCCACCAGCTGCTTGAAGGTGGGCCTCTGGGCGGGCACCGCGTGCCAGCAGTCTCGCATCATCATGTACCTGCAAGGCCGATGCCCGCGGCGTTAGCCCTGTGAGCACCGGCACGGCCGCCGGCCGCCGTCACGGGCCCCCTGCCGAGGCCCTGAACCGGGGGAACGTATCAGAGCCCCCAAGCCCCTCAGTCAGAGGTTTCTACTTTCCCGAAATCGTCGCCGCTTGGTGCCCCGAAGAGGAGTTTCATTTACAGAAACATCTCTGCCCAAAATGTTCGAGGACGGTGCCCGGCCGCCGAGAAAGGCAGCCTGTGTGCTCAGCGTCACGGGCTTCACAGTATCTACACCTGGTGTTTGGGGTTTTCTTTCAACCAGTCTAACGGACAAAGGTTCCTCAGTTTAAAAAGGAAGTGAAGTTGGAAAACCACAACGTTAAAGTCAGGTTCTTCCGAATCAATCCGCCATCCCTGGGCCGCCCACCGACTTCCGGACAGGCCCAGGTCCCAACCTTATCTCGATTATGGGTTTGGACAGACCTATGTCAGAGGAGCAACACGGCCGGGGAGCACAATCAGCGCCTTACAGGACACGGAATAAGACTCGGCCACTCGGCCGACGCCCACCGACAGGCACTCACGGGATCAGACGCGAGATCCCCACGAACGCCCACAACAGACGGCAGGCTCCAGGTCAACCCTCCCTCAGGTCCTCCTGGGGGCCGAGGGGGGCTCCTTTCCAAAGCGCCGATTTTACCGCGCAAGACCCGTCCGTGTCACAAACGCAGCGTGATTCCACCAGCCACGTGGGGCGGGTTTTTCTAGAGACCGGCTCGCAGTTTTACAGTCAGTTCTCGACTCTAAGGGTGGCACCTGGACAGCTTTTTAATCTTCTGCACTGAAGTATGGGCCCAACCGCAGGTAACCAGACACTAGTGCACTGGCTCTGAGGAAATTCGGTTGGTGCTAAACTACAAGAGCATTTCCAGTGGTCACAAAGGGGCTGCAGGAGCACCGACCTCCGCGTTCTGCCCCGGGCAGGGCACCGGCAGCGAGGGGGGACTGGCTGGTGCCCTGACCCATCCTGCGCTCAGCCGGCGGCCCCTCGGCTTTCTAGCTCGTTGGGGGGCAGGTGTATCGTCCTGTCTCTGAGGGGAGTCGGTGGCAAGGCCCCGCATGCGGCCCCGGATCATCCCACGTCACTGTGAAGTCGGGGGCCCCTGCCGGGCAGCCTGACACCCTGCGACTGAAAGCTCCCGGCACACACCCCCAAGGCTGCGCCTCCCAGACAGGCCCGCTGTCAGGGATGGAGCCCAGGCCGCCCCAGCCCTGCCTCCCGGGGGCACATCTGCAAGGTCGGGGGCCTCGGGAAACCGGCGCAAGTCAGAGCGCGCTGGGCGGCGGGACAGACGCGGCCCTTACAGTTCGTTGGTGCAGTTCGCCGGCTTGTCCATCCGGTGCCCCTCCTTTAGCAGCTTGAACAGTTCCTCCACGGGAATCCCTGGGTAGGGCGAGCCCCCGAGGGTGAAGATCTCCCACATCAGCACCCCGAAGGACCAGCTACGAGGAAGGGGAGAGCAGAGCGTTACTCACGCACCGAATCCCAGGGAGCCAGACGGGCCCCGTTCAATAAGCACCCGTCTCTTCCCGCTCAAAGACCAAGGACCCGAGCGTGCCTCCTGCGGGTCCCCCCACGTGCCCCTTCCTGCCCCTCCTGCCCCCCCCGCAGGCGACACTAAGCAGTGGTAAACCATCGCGCTTTTCTCTTTTCGACGGAGGTCTGGGATTATGGGCTTTTTCCTTCCTCCCTCCTAAAGTCGGTCGTTTCCAGGCAGCGTCAGCAACGTGGAGGTCCCAGCTCCTACGCTTCCTTCGGCCTGTGTGGCCCAGGGCTGTGACCCGCCAGGATGGGCCGTGGGCAGGACGAGGCTGGCCAGCTAATTTCTCAAGGTAACGGGTGCCCGGTGTGGGCGGCGGGGCATCTAAGGGCACAGGGTTCCTGGCTCACTGTCATGGGGGGGGGGCCCAGGGCTGCTGTGAGGATGGCGGGGGGCCCTGCGCCCAGGCGAGTTCCACACGACGGGAACCGGACAGGTTCCCTGGGGCAGAACTGACACCCGGCCCTGCCGTGGGACTCTCTGAGCTTCGTTTAGGAGGCTCCACCCTGGGGTGGCTGAGCCGAGAACCCTGCGTTTATCTGTGTGGTTGTGGCTCCAGAAACACACCCTTCCTGACTCTACGCCGGCGAGTTTCTGAGATAACTGTCCCCGGTCTGTGCAGAACCAGAGCAGGAAGGCAGTGCACACGGGTCGCGAGCTCACCGCGGACACGGGGCCGTGACGCCCGCCTCCCAGGACTGCTGACGGCGTGGACGCGTGCCGACCCCAAAACCCTCCCGCTCCCGCAAAACATAGCTCAGCTGATTTCTTCACACTCTTCATTTCGGAACAGTTATAGGCTCGTGGAAACTGGCAAAAACAGCAGAGAGAGATCCTCTGCGCCCTGCGCCCCCCTTCCCACCACGGGAACATCTCTCAACCAAACTTCCAGGTCGACGATCCTAAAACACCGGTGGAGCCCGACCCTGGCAGCATTTTTAAGCGCATCGTGACAGGATCAGGATCTAGTTTTCACTGTAGTTCTCTAAGTACCAAGGATGCTAAGACAAGACCCGAATGTTCTCCAGGGACACACAGCGCGAGCGGCCCTGCAGACGTCACCCGAGCAGGCCCGTGTCCCCCTCAGCCACCCTCCTAAGGACAGACCTGGGACGGGGGGAATTCTTCAGACACCCTCAAGGGGAAAGTGTCAGGATCCCTTCGTTAAGGGAGCAAAAACATGCCACCAGCCTGGCGAATTCGCCAGGAGCTTTGCAGCGGCACATCGTGAAGATTCAAGGTGGGGCGGATGGCGCGGGACCTTCTGCTCCGGCAGGGAGGAGGTGAGCGGTCCCTCGTCCCCTGCGCTTCGAAGCCAGGAAGGGCGGTAACGGGCTCTGGTTCCAGCCTCCCTAAAACCCACCCCCTCTCCCGCAGCTCCTGCGAACGTGTGCCAGGCAGCGGGCACCAGAGAGGCAGGGACGTGTGTGCGACTCGATGCCGTGGAGACGCCGGGGAAGCAGCTACTTACACGTCGCTCTGGTGGGTGTACACTCGGTCGAAAAGGGCCTCCGGGGCCATCCACTTGACCGGAAGCCGCCCCTGCGTGCGCGGAAGAAACGGGAAAAACAGCACGCTGAAATGGGTCCACCTGAGTGGGCTCGGCTGGGCTGCGCCCTGTTTTAAAAGCCGACACGAACGACCTTCTCACGATGCCCAGGGGCCGGGCGTCAGAGCCGAGATGAGCTCGGGGGGGACCACACATAGGTGGGGGGTGCACAGATTTGGAAACTCTTTTAAAGTCTGTATCTACAGGTGTGGTCCCTTTTAGTTATTCACTCTCACCTGGGGATCTGTCCATCGACTTGAGAGAGACAGGGAGGGGGAGAGAAACATGGATCTGCCTCCCGGATGCGCCCCGGCCGCGGATCAAACCCGCAACCCGGGTATGTGCCCTGACAACGGCCTGCAAGATTCAGGCGTATGGTCCGAGCAACTGAGCCGGGAACACTACAAATGCCGTTCCCTTGGGTCCTCGGGGTCACCGCTGTCCCCAGCAGGCAGACACACCCCGACCAGCTTCGAGACCAAAAACTGACCCCGAAGCTCCCCTGCCCTAATCCCTGCAGGGAAAGGTCCTGACCAAGAGCCTGGGAAGACCCCAGGGGCCGCGCCCTGTTCTGTACACGGGAGTTTCGCACCCGCGGGGCGTTTCCTGAACGCAGCCCAGATCGGCCGCCGAGGAGTTCGCGAGGAGAGAGGCCAAAGAGGAGGCACCAAGGGCAGAGGAAGGAGCCCCACCGGGGCCTCCAGCTCTGCCCGCCCATCGCCTGTCTCCCGGGGCCCGCCGGGCCCCCCCATCGCTGCCGGAGACTTACATTCGTGGTCTTCTTGTAGTAGTCTATGTTGTTGATGTCTCTGGCCAGCCCGAAGTCCGCTATTTTCATCACATTGTTTTCTGTCACCAGGACGTTTCTGGCCGCCAGGTCTCGGTGAATACACTGAGGGGGGAAAGCTCATCTCAGCACGCTCCAGGGCCAAAGAAGTGGACCCATTTCTTCCAGCATCTCAAGTCGAAAACCCCCATTTCCTCTCTCATTAAAAGTAAACGTAAAGCACCGAGGCCCCAACCCCTTCCAGGCGCGCAGGCCGACCCAGGAACTCTCCGCCTGCAGGCGACCGGCGCCCCCCGCGTCCCTCACACAAGATCCGCGTTAGGTCGTCCTGAGACCTTTCATCGCGACACCTGCTGCGCCCGTCACAGCCAGACCTTAAAGAGCTGAGCTGGCCGACCGGCCGCCAGCATCACCTGGTCTGCGCCTCGCGGTCACTGCTCAGACGTGGCGACCTGTTCCCACCCCTGCCCATCTAAAGGTTAGGACGAGCTTCAGGTCAGGCCCAAGCGTCCCACCCCACCCCTCCTCTCTCCCCACCCTCTCAGATTCCTTGGCCGCCTCCTGGCTGCCTCTGACCCCAGACAGAAGAATCGTCCCGTCGATTCTGTCTATTTCCATGTATCCTCACGGCTTCCCTGCTTAGATACGTGCCCAAGATTTACAGGTTCCTCTCTCAAGCATGACCGCTCTCCTGGGACCACTGCTATGGGACGTTCCCCCATAGATGCCCACTTGGCACCTCGAATTCAAGGTCTCCCCTCCCCTAATCCCATCCTCCTGGTCTCTCTCGGGCAGAGGGGCACACTCCAGACTTCTTCACGCACTCCTGCCTCTAGTGCCCCTCCTCTGGCCTCAGCTCCACCCCCTTCCCCAAACCGCCTCATTGGTTCCCACGGCCAGGTCTCCTGAGGTGAACCCCGGCCCCCAGGTGACTGCAGGTCCACGCCCACTAGAGACTCTCTTCTTTGGGGACCCCAGGAATTCCTGAGGCTGCACCAGGCTCCAGGGCAGGTAGGGTCTGACCCCACCTGTGCCCAAGAAGGGAGCTGTGCAGCCCCCCAGGTGCGGGCCAACAACGGTCCTGAGTCATCCTAAGTGCCCAGGGGGCACCTGGGCACCTATCTAGCTGCTCTCAGGGTAACGAATGTTCTGAGCTCCATCGCACGTGGCTTTCCTGGAACGCAGGGGGACCTGGCCCACTTCTGCCTGCAGAGGGTCATCCTGCTAAATCAGACGAAATAAACCCAGGTAATACCCAGGACGGGATGTTACTAAAATATCGCTGCTCTTGATCTTTACTTTTAGCATATTTCAGACTCAAGACCATACACACAACACTGGAAGTCTATGCCCCAAAACTCAATAAACATAAAACAAATAAAGCCCCTCAACCATGAGAATTAAAGGCCGCGTGCCCTAAACCAGCTGCGCTCCACCTGGAGGCCCACTCCTGGGACGGTCCCGCCCAGCCCCGTCCAGAGGAGTCACCACCCCCGCTCACCTCCGCAGTGTCGCTGGAGGTTCATGGGGTGCTCTGGCTTTTCACCCTAAGGTGAGTAATGCAGCCAGCGTTTCCCAGGCTGCACGACACAGGCAGGGGCTTGACGTAGCGAATGAGCACGTCTGCTCCAGAGACACTTTAAACCTAAATCCACCCAACCGGGGAGAATGTGAGCTCACTTTTTGGGAGGCCAGGTACTCCATGCCCCTGGCCAGCTGGTAGGTGCAGGATACCAAGTCCTTGAAGGTCATCTGCTCCTCGGGGACGCGGTTGATGTCATAGGAGTACTCCATCCCGGGCGGCCTCCTGGCCCGGAGGTACTCGCGGAGGTTGCCTTTCGAGGCGTACTCGACTATGACGTAGAGAGGCCCTGTGGGTGGACGAGACAAGCTCCCTGAGACGGCGAACCCGGGATCCGCCCTCGGGCTGCTCGGCAAAGCTGGTTTAGTTATCATGAACCAGGGATTTTCCTTCGGTTTGTTTTCATTTAAACACACAGAAAAGCATACGGAGATCGAACACCTGCTCTCTAATTTCCCCCAAATGACGGTCTACAGTTGGCCGAGAGAACCTCATGTCTTTGAGAAACTGACCAAAGACACTGAGTGTCCTTCCCTGGTCACTAAGTTCTCACACCTGTGCCCTCTGGAAAGCAGTGCTCCTTCTAGCCCATTTTAACTATTTTACATGCATCTATGTATATCAATAAGTGGCATATTGTTTTTATTTTTATTTCTTGTTACCCCTCACCTGAGGATATCTTTTCCACTGAGTTTTAGAGAGTGGATGGGGTGGGAGGGGGACAGAAACATCGACGTGAGAGGCACTGTGGTTGCTTGACTCCTGCACGTGCCTAGACTGGGGCCAGGTTTGAACCTGCAACCCAGGTACGTGCCCTGGACCGGGAATCAAATCTGGGACCACGGAGCCACAGCAGCCAGGGCAATGAAGTATTTTTTAATTAAGGTATGTACATTGCTTTTTAGACATAATGCTATTGCATCCTTAATAGGCCACAGTGCAGCGTAAACACAATGTTTATATGCACTGGGAAACCCAAAGTTTCGTGTGACTTGCTTTATTGGGGTGGCCTAGAGCCGAACCCACAGCATCTCCGACGTGCGCCTGTATGTTCTATCACACACACACGCCCCACTGGGTTTGTCCATTTCCCTACAGGCTGCTCCCCGATTCCGGCCATCAGGGTGCAATGGCCATCCTGCGCCCGCCCTTCCACACACCTCTCCACCTGTGCTATCGACAGGCGCCGGCGCCCACAGGCCAAAGCCCGCCCACTGCCTGTTTCTGTGATTAAGCTCCTGGCACAGGGCCAGGCCCACTCATGACTGTGGCTGCTTCCACACAACTGCGGCCACAGAGCCGAAAATATTTACCATCAGCCTCTACAGAAAACATCTCCCGACTCCTGGTACAGACCTAGAGAACTGCTGGGGCCAAGATGGGCCTGTTCGAGCTTATTAATTATCGTACAACTGGTCCCCAACGTGCCAGCTGGCTCTTCGGCAAGAGAGGCAGGGGTCTCTCTGCCCCCGAGGAAGACAACGGGCCCCCGTGGCCCGCTCTCCTCTTCTCGGGGGCCCAGCCACCTGCGCCCATAGCAGGACCTGGCTTCCTCCACCCCCACTTTCAGAGAACTTGTCGACCAGAGCGCAGGGCTTTATCGTGAGAAATCTCTCAGCAAGCACAGAACAGAAGCCTAAGGAGATGCCTTCTCCAAGCACCGTGGGCGGGGGGTGCCCTGCAAACAGGACCCCACAGGCCCCCTCGTCCAAGGTCACCCAACACCCACCTTCCTTCCCCCGGCCCCCAGGGACCGTCACCAAGTGCCCTGTGCCTTCAGGGCCAGGAGCGTCTCCCCAAGGAGACTGTAAAGAGAACTTCATACATGCGCTTGAGATGCTCTGGGAGCAAGTCCAACTGTCCCTGAGGGACACTAACGGATCCGGGGAACCCGGAGGGGTCCCCTGCTCACCATCCTGGGTGCAGGCCCCGAGCAGGTTGATGATGTTTTTGTGCTTCCCCATCATCTTCATCATCTCCATCTCGGACACCAGGTCAGAGAGGTCCTTCTCCGTGGCGTCATCTGCAAACACCCGGGCACATTAGAAATCGGTGCGTTTCCTCTAACCCCCCCGTGGCTGCGGCGAGCTGCTGAGCACGCAGTTGAAAGAGCATGAAATTGAATTTTAGAACCAAAGGCCTGGGCGGGGAATGGTCCTGCCCCGGGCCCAGCAGCTAATTTGGGGTCATCAGGGTCACGAGTCGGAACTAGAAGGAACACAGGCCTCCAATGCGGGGGCTGGTTCTTTTCCAGCAAATGTGGGGTGTTTGACTCTCGTGAAATGACTCCGTCCTCTGGCAGAGCTGAGGTGCCTCAGAACCACCCCAAACCACGGGGCTGAAACTGTGGGAGCATCTGGAGAGGAGGGGCGCCAGGCATCTAGTCACTAGACCGTCTCCAGACCCAGTGCCGCTAACTCAGCCCTCACAACCCCAGGGCTTCACAGATGGGGAGGAGGGACCCAAAATTGTGTACAAAAGTGTATGTGTTGTGTGTGTGTGGTGCATTGTGTTGGGTGTGGTATGTGTGGTGTGTATTGTGTGGTGTTGTGTGTGTTGTGTGTGTGGTTTGTATTGCGTGTTGTGTTGTGTGTTGTGGGGTGTGGGGTATGTGGTGTGTGTGGTGTGTGGTTTGTATTGTGTGTTGTGTGTGTTGTGGGGTGTGGGGTGGGGTGTGTGGTGTGTGTTGTGTGTTGTGGGGTGTGGTGTAGGGTGTGGGGTATGTGGTGTGTGTGGTGTGTGGTTTGTATTGTGTGTTGTGTGTGTTGTGGGGTGTGGGGTGGGGTGTGTGGTGTGTGTTGTGTGTTGTGGGGTGTGGTGTAGGGTGTGGGGTATGTGGTGTGTGTGGTGTGTGGTTNGGTCCTGCCCCGGGCCCAGCAGCTAATTTGGGGTCATCAGGGTCACGAGTCGGAACTAGAAGGAACACAGGCCTCCAATGCGGGGGCTGGTTCTTTTCCAGCAAATGTGGGGTGTTTGACTCTCGTGAAATGACTCCGTCCTCTGGCAGAGCTGAGGTGCCTCAGAACCACCCCAAACCACGGGGCTGAAACTGTGGGAGCATCTGGAGAGGAGGGGCGCCAGGCATCTAGTCACTAGACCGTCTCCAGACCCAGTGCCGCTAACTCAGCCCTCACAACCCCAGGGCTTCACAGATGGGGAGGAGGGACCCAAAATTGTGTACAAAAGTGTATGTGTTGTGTGTGTGTGGTGCATTGTGTTGGGTGTGGTATGTGTGGTGTGTATTGTGTGGTGTTGTGTGTGTTGTGTGTGTGGTTTGTATTGCGTGTTGTGTTGTGTGTTGTGGGGTGTGGGGTATGTGGTGTGTGTGGTGTGTGGTTTGTATTGTGTGTTGTGTGTGTTGTGGGGTGTGGGGTGGGGTGTGTGGTGTGTGTTGTGTGTTGTGGGGTGTGTTGTGGGGTGTGGGGTATGTGGTGTGTGTGGTGTGTGGTTTGTATTGTGTGTTGTGTGTGTTGTGGGGTGTGGGGTGGGGTGTGTGGTGTGTGTTGTGTGTTGTGGGGTGTGTTGTGGGGTGTGGGGTATGTGGTGTGTGTGGTGTGTGGTTTGTATTGTGTGTTGTGTGTGTTGTGGGGTGTGGGGTGGGGTGTGTGGTGTGTGTTGTGTGTTGTGGGGTGTGTTGTGGGGTGTGGGGTATGTGGTGTGTGTGGTGTGTGGTTTGTATTGTGTGTTGTGTGTGTTGTGGGGTGTGGGGTGGGGTGTGTGGTGTGTGTTGTGTGTTGTGGGGTGTGGTGTAGGGTGTGGGGTATGTGGTGTGTGTGGTGTGTGGTTTGTATTGTGTGTTGTGTGTGTTGTGGGGTGTGGGGTGGGGTGTGTGGTGTGTGGTGTGTGTTGTGTGTGCACACACACATTCCAAGTGAAGGTCCATCCGTCCATGGGCCCCTCAAAGGGGGCTGAGGTTCCATCCCTAAAAACCGGAAGTTTTACAACCCTCGGCCATCACCTCGGCCTAGACTGGCTCAGTCCTGTGTCCACGGCTCGCAGCCTCTGAAGGGTAGCGAGACTTTCCCACGTGACCCCCGCGAGCTAATCAATGTGGAAAAACCTGGGCTCCCCACAAAGGTGAGACGGGGCAGGGCTGGGAGCCGCGTGCAGAAAGCCCCCGGGACTCAGGAGGGAGGCGCCATCTGCATGGACGCGGCCTAGAGGGCCGAGCCCCGGCCGGGGAAGGAGCGGCCACACCTGTGCCCCCCACGCTCAGGTGCCCCCCTCCAGCTCGGAGCCCACAGGCCACGGCACGGGCTCCTCACGGGCTCCGGGGCTCACGCCTGCTCCGCCCTCACGGGGAGCTGGCCCGGGCGTAACGAGAGAAAAGGAGCCCCCAGGCCTCCCTGCTACATCCCAGGTGCCTCTGCGCCCCACAGCCCGAGTCAGCTCTGCCGACTGACAGGAAGCCCGGGCCCCCCACTCCCCCTGCTTCGTGCCCAGGGGCTGCCGAGGCTGGTGAGGGGCACTCAGCCCACGACACCTGCCACACACGGGGCGGCCCAGCAGGTGCTGCCTCTGGGGGTGGAGCCAACCCTCGGGGTGAGGGCACACAGTCCTCCTCCGCATCGGGCCCCAAGGCGGGGAGCAGCTCAAAACACCCGTTTTCCTGAGGAGCCACCCAGACTCGTGGCTTCAAAACTACGTGCGAGTTGGTACTTTCTAAGCACGTTCAGGTACTGGGGGGGCCAAAGGAGTTGACAGTTGTGAGTACTGGAAACACGGAGTTTACGCCTGTGATTATTTCTAATTATTGCCTTATTTCCCATACAAACGCCGTCACCCTCCTTCTGCCCACCCTGGATGGAGGGAATGAAGACTCACACGGAGTCCGACAGGAACACCCTAGGCGGCTACCACTTCGACAAAACGGGCTTTTCTTTTTTAAAAAGTGCACATGGCTCAAGATAAATCGTCTGTCCAAGATGCTGATTTATACAGAAAACTCCCAACCCCTAGGTCAGCTATGTGCTCTCTGACCCCGGCCTGACAGAGGTCACGGGCCACGAAAGAAGACTCTTGATAAGACTTCCCACCCTT